TCCAGAGTTTGTGATTGATTCATTGTCCAATACTAGGATATAGAGTGTGAGTGCAACACCCGCCCTAGAGAAGATAGCCTACATACAAAATAAGGGACAAAAAAGGCTTTTCCTTCCCCTCCTCTCTCTAGTTGCTCTTGCTGTCTTTTACTGCTATGAACTGTTGTCCATCTGCCATGATTGCATGAAGCTTTGGGGGATATCCAAACACAAACTATAATACTTACTGATAAACCTCTTCCCCTCTAAGGCTTTACCTGTCCTTAAGGACATACAAAAGTTTCCTCATCTTCAGAGAACCCCTCCCAACTCCTTCTAGAGGCCAGTGTTACCCTAATAGCAAAACCAAAAATGAATAGAAGCTAGAGACCATCATTCCTTATAAACACAGAAATCCTCAAATACTGCCAACCCAAATCCATCAACCTATATACAGTCTTCTGTGCACAAATGAGATTTGTTTCAGGAAGGTAAGGTTGATTCGACAAATATCAATCAGTATAATATGTTAGTACTAGTACATCATAACAAAAGCTGTGTGGTCATCTAAATAGACACAAAACATTTTACAAAATCTATAGCTTACAAAATCTATATCATTTTGTTTGAAAAACAAAATACCTAGACAAAATTTGAATAGATGGGAAACTCCTCAGCCTGACAAACGTTATCTGTGCAAACCTCACAGCTAACATCATATCCAATGATAAGGCAGTGCTTCACTCCTATAATCAGGAGTAAGACATCTATATATTATGCTAGTCAACTTTATATTGTACATTCTAAGCAGGGAAATTAAGCCAAGAAAAGGAAATACAGGGCATCTGGAGGAGAAAGGACAAAGTAAAATTGCATTTTCAGATAATATGATCTTTTATTTAGGACATCCTAAGGAACCTGTTAAAAATCATTAGAATAAAACAGTTCAGCACAGTTGCAATGCATGAGATGAATATATTACAGTCAGTTACATTCCTGTACAATATTGTGAACAGTGTGAAAATGAAAATAACAATTCCACTTATAGTACTACAAAAAGAATTACTTTTGAATAAATAATAAGTACAAAAATTGTACTGTAAGCTTTATAAAACATGTTTAAAGAGAAGATAAATTGAGAGATATTGCATTCTCATGAATTAGAAGTTAATATTGTCAGGCTGTCAGTAGTCTCCAACAATACTCATCTACAGCGTCAACACTGTCCCTGTTGAAATCTCAGCTGATATTTTTTCAAAATGGGCAAACTCGGGGCTGGGGATTTACCTCAGAGGCATAAGAACCTGCCTTGCAAGCAGGCGGTCATGAATTCGATCCCCGGTACGATGAAAAAGACAAAAAAAAAAATGGGCAAACTTGTATTATACAGTTGGACATTCAAGGGATTCAGAATAACCAACAATATGGAAAGAAAAGAACAAATTGGGAAACTCATGTTTCCTTTTTTTATTTTTGCAACTTAGTAGAAAGTTGTTCACATTTACACTCAATTGATTTCCTACCAGGGTTCCAAAATAATGATAGAATGGTCTTCCCAGCACGTGATACTGAAACAACTGGCTACATTCAAAAGAATGGGCCTTGTGGCAATTCTGTTAGAGATAGCGGGAGACATTATGGTAACCATTGTTGATCACCTTGTATTATGTTTTTACATTATCTATTATGTCCACCCTTTTGATTTGACCGACTCTGTTCTGTTATGTCACATTTGGTTTTACTCTCTTCCAAAAAAGTAATAAGAACCGTGGGAGCAATGAAACCCAAAATGTGTAATAGTCATTGTACAAAAGAGAGGAAAAGAAAGTGCTCTAAACTATATAACTGCATGTATATTTAAGTGTATAAGATAGAAAATGATATCACTGAGTTTTATTGGATCATTGAACAGAACTGTTTGCAGTATCATTGTTGGAATGTCCACTTTACAAGCTTTAATTTTGTGACTTGAACAATTATTTCTAAGATAACAATATGTAATCCATTAACTAGTGATTTCCTACTGTTTATTTTTTTTCTGTAAATCTGTATAACTTGTACCCTTTCTTTGCTTTTTTTTCTCCTTAAATAAAATTTAAAAAAAAAAGAATGGGCCTTGTATTGGTTAATACTCTAATGTAGTGATGGCAAACCTATGGCATGTGTTCTGCAGTGGGCACATAGAGCCTTCTCTATTGGCTTGCGAACCAAATCACCCCAACAGCTGAGCCTCCTCCTATAACAGCACACATGGGGGCCATATGCATACTCCTAAAGGTGTAGTGGCACCAGGCAAAGATGGGGGAAAATGTGTGTATAGATTTACATGTGTATATATAGTATAAGAGAATCTGTTAGATACGCTTACAAGAGACTTACGTGGTCAGAGCTGGGACAGCCTACAGTTAAGACACCTGCATATTGGAGCATTCAGGATCTGATCAGTCCATGAAGCTCAAAGTGTCAGAACAAGAGGGATCAAGGATGCAACCTCAGTGCAAGCCTGAAGGCCCGGAACCTCCCTGGAGCATCAGCACATAATTGAAAGGCTGAAAAGACTGGAGTTTGATGTCTACAGATAATGACAGTGGCAACTGTCAAGCTGAGTCAAGCTTATTCACATATATCAGCCTTTGCTCATTCTCCCTTTCCTTCCATCCAGGTTATAGGCCTCTGGATGGTGGCACCCACAATCAGGGAAGATGTTTCTGCATCAGTTTGCTGGTCTGCATGCCAGATATCTCTGAAAACAGACACAGGCAGAAGAGTATTTTACTAATTTCCTAGTTATCTCTTAACCAGTCAGGCTGACAATAAACTTTCACCTGGTCTCTACCTCACACAAATGTTAATTCTAGACAAAAATATAACTGCTGAAACTACAATTCTTAGAAAAAAAACCTATGAGTAAATCTGTTACCTTGGGTTAGGCCAAAGCTGTAAAATGTATTAATAAAAGAACAGATAGCCAAATTGGACTTTAGCAAGACAGACTGTTAATGTGAAAAAATACAATCAAAAAAAGGCAACTCAAAATGAAAGAAAATATTTGCTAATTGTATATCTGATAAAGAACTTGTATGTAATTTTTTATTTGTTTGGTTTTTGGTTTTGAAACAGGCTCTCACTATGTAGCTTAAACTGACCTCGAATTTACCATGTGTCTCAGGCTAGCTTCTGCCTCAGCCTCTCAGGTGCTGGAATTGCAGACATATGATACCACTCCTGACTTTATATCTAGAGTATTTAATAAAACTTTTGCAACTCAGTGATTAAAGAAAAAAGAATGAGGAAAGGACCTGAATAGATATTTTTTCACAAAAGTTATTCAGATGGCCAAAAATCACATAAAAAGATGTTCCAAGTGGTTATTCATTACATAAACACATCTCATTGCCAAAGTACACTACACTGCACCCAAGATAGCATTAATCAAAAGTACAATAAAAATATTAGCAGTAATATTTTTGCTGTAACTATAAAATAGATCTTCTACTTTAGAAAAATTACATAATTCTATAAATTGCTAAACAGAATTACCCTGTAGCCCAGAAAACACACTCCTAAGAGAAAAAGGAAAGTGTAGGGCCACACAAAATCTTGTCATTGACTGTCCCTTGTAGTAGTACTGATAACAGCAAAAAATTGGAAAAAATCTAAATGCCTAACTGATGACTAAAACTACAGGAGATATATCCTGAAAGGAACTTATCCAGCAATGAAACAGAATGAAATGCTGACATATCCTAAGCATGGATGAATATTGAAAACACTTTGCTCAGTGGAAGAAGCCAGTCACAAAGCATATATTGCATAATTTTATTTATGGAAAATGTCATGAGCAGGCAAATTATATACAGAGAGTATCTTAGTGGTTACCTCCGACCAAAGATCAGAATGAGAAATGGAAGCAGTGGATACAGATATAGGGCTCCTTTTGGAATGATCATGAGAATCTGGGGATTTAGCTTCATGGTGTAGAGTATATGCCTAGCATGTGCAAGGCCCTGGGTTCCAATCTACAGCACACCCACAGCCTCAAAAAATTTGAACAAAATTGACAATTGCACTGCTCTGTAAAAACAGTAAAAACCAGTGAAATTTCAACTTTATATGAGTAAACTATATGGTATATGGATTACATTTCTCAAGCCTTGGCAGGGGTATGGGTGGTAGGTTCCTGAGGTTGAACTTAGGGCCTTTGCAGTATTAAACTACATCTTTAACTCCTTACTTTTTTTAAATATGAAGTCTTTTTAAGTCTCTTAAGTTGCCCCCAGGCTTGGCTCAAACCTTTTCTTTATAAAGTTTTCACTAGTTAATAGCAGTTTGTCAATCTTATCATCCTTTTGCCCATAATTCTGAACACTGCATTTTATCTTACTAGTTCTAACTTTTGCAGCTTAATACAAAGTTCTGTTTTTGTTTGTCTCACATACTCATTAGCCACTATATATTTGTGAACACATATTGTTTAATATCTATTACCAGTATTAACCTTCTGTAATGGTAGAATTATATATATATCCTCTGAAATTCAAATGTTGATTGGCTACTGAGTCCTGTTTCTAAGGAACCTGTTAAGATGGTTGCTATTTCTTCTATACAGTTTGATTCTAATGCACAGTGGTTGTATAGTTATGCTTTATAAGGCTTAGAACACATAATCTTATTTTGGAAAAATATATCTCTTAAAAGCTATAGTGATGCATTGTGTGTTTAAATATATTAACAACAGTGATATTTGTTGACCATATACTTTATATTAGTAACTGCTAAGCTCTAATGCAATATATTAAAGTGTCAAAATATACTAATTTTTAACAATTTTATAGTCTGGGAGAGTGATTTTAGCGTCAAGTGTGAAAAGTTCAGGATTAGACGCGCGAAGTGAATTCAGAGACTCTCTTCTCTGAAAGATTGACATGAGTTGTTTAGAATTCAGTGTAGAAGAATGAGATTTTCAGATGTGCTTAATTTTTTCATTTTCAGATGTGCTTAATTTTTTTCTTTTTTCTTAGATACAAAAATCAAAACATGAACAACGATATATATTACAAATGCTCAAAGCTGATTTGGGTACAACTGGAGTGCAATTGCTTACCACATATTCCAGAGGAATTAGAGAAATCAGAGTGATGGATAACAGAAAAGAGCCTCCGTTCTTCAATGAAGATAACATGGGACTGGAACCATTTGACTACAAACTTCTTTTCTATGACACCATGGAGCTCTTCATTGAGACACTGACTGGAACGTGTTTTGAGCTGAGAGTTTCACCTTTTGAAGCAGTTATTTCTGTAAAGGCAAAAATTCAAAGACTGGAAGGTACTAGTCTTTCTTTGTTATTAGAAAACAAAGGTTAAATCTGTTCATCAAAAAATATAATTTTGTATATTTTTAATGGAGAAAGTTTCAAACATGTGACATTTGAAACAATAGGACGATGATCTCCAAGTGCCCCTTATTAATCTTCACAGGTTATCAACTCATGAGCTGTCTTCCATTTGCTTCATGTTCTTCCCGCCTTAATCCCCTTCTCCTAGGTTCGTGTGAAGCAAATATTTGCCATCATGTTAATAGTATACGTAATATTTTAAAATAGTGTCTTAATTACTTCCCTTGTCACTGGGACACAATATTTGACTCCCACAAATTAAAGGAGGAATGGTTTTTTGGGGTTCACAGTTTATAGAGATTCCAGTCCTTGGCTCCAAGGCAGGGCAGCAAGGCAAACTGGTCTGGCGGAGGAGGGTTGCACATTGCATGGCAGACAAGCAGAGTGATCAAGGCAGGAGGAAGAAGATAGACCCTACTAGCCCACACCCTTACTGGCCCACCTCCTCTGGCCAACTGCACCTCCCTCCCAACATTACCTTTAGCTATAAACTCACTTGTGGACAAATCCACTTAGGAGCATCACACCTGCATGATACAGTTGCCTCCACAAAACCCCCACTAAAAGCACTTGAGCCTTTGGGATAGAAACCATAACAGTTTTCAACAGGTTGTAATGAAATACAGACTTTGCTGTAGCTCTCTAAAGGTTATTTTTAACAGGAAATGATGCGCTTTCTCTCTTAGTGACCTCACTTACCTTCCTGTACTACTTTCAGATCCTTTTTTTTCTACTGTGGAGATATTCAAGAAGTTTTTAGCTTACATTTATGTAGCTTGTACCTGACCAAAGTACAGCAAGAGTAAAAACAGACACGGAATTAGGTTAAAATGTGGAGGTCAGGGGGCTTTTATCTCCCTTCAACTAAGAGCCCTGAGGGATAGCTCACTCTGCCTTTATTCACTCAGACACAGGCATAGGCAATTACAGTAACACAGGATTCATCTGCCTCCCACCATCCATGGTACATGTCTGAGTGAAAAAACGGGATCTCAGCTGTGTTTTTATCTGTAGCACTTCAGCGTACTTGCATGCTGCCTTTCTCCTTAGCGTTCACAGAGGAGGCCAATTAGGCCTCAGTCTTCCTGTCTGGTCTCCCACATCTCCCACTTTTTGTTTTACAATAACAGCAATCAAATACCCCTCAGTGCTATTTGTCCCTAGGAGAAGTATGTAAGTGTAATTATTCTGTTTTGAAATCTATCTTTTAATGACTATACCTCCACCCACAATTATAATGTGTGTGCACTGGTTCTTTGCAAGAGCCTAGCCCTATCTGATTGCCTATGCTATAACTAATTTAACTGTCCCCCACTCTGTAGAAGGACTCTTAACTATTGTGAGAGGGTAACAAGCACAGGCCTCTCTCTAGCTACTTCTTGCTGAAGAGGGGCAGAGTTGTGATTCACAGTTAAAGATACCCACCAGAGGGTGTCTTAAAGGGTCCTTGACAGACTCCAGGCATTCTCCTCTCAGGCAGGTGCTGACAAACAAGTTTTTCTGCCTTTTGAGTAGTTTTCTTCAGTTGTTGTCTGAAGGAAGGCTTTCACTGATGAGAACAACAGAGTTGTTTTTCCTTGGTCGAGCCATAGTGTGGACTTTTCCATGGCCTAGACTCCTGGAGGGTACCCATGATTTCAGCCCATTTCCTGCAACAACACAAGCAAACCCCTGCCCTCATTCCTGTAGAGTAACTGGTCTCTCCCATTTTGCCATCACTGGGGATCACGGCAACACCTGTGCCTCCTTCCTTTTCCCATGCTCTTGTACTTTTGGTTCAATGTGATTCCATCTGGTGCTATCTGTATCACCAACAGGATTCAAAAGTTAGGTGTAAATGTTACAAAATCAGGCCAAGCTATAGCACTTACTATGAATTATTTCCCCTTTTTGGTTTTGTAACTGCTATTTTAATGTCAAATGTGCATGCTCAATATAGCTTGTCCTTGTGGAATATAAGGAATTCCAGTAGAATGACTAACATTCCAGTGCTGCAAAAATCTGTAAAAGTTCATGCTTTATAGGTGGGGCTATTATCCATTTTTATTTTCTTAGGAACTCCCCCGTTTGCAAATGCCAAGAGACAGTGTTGCTGGATATGCCCTCATTCTTTCCCTCATGGCAGGTAGCATGCATAAAATGAGGATAAGTGTCTATACTTACATTTAATACTAAAGTCTGCCTAATTGAGATATAAGTGTTCATCCATTTGCCATAGCTCATTTGCCTGGAGGCCTCCAGGATTACAGCCTTTTGATGGAATTGTTGTAGGTAAATTCAGGCATGCTGTACAATGTGGCATGTCTGTGATCTGGGAAATTTAAAGCTAGAGGTAAGAGCTCGGATATTCTGATGAAAGTAAGAATGAGAAAGACTTGCCTGTTGAAAAGTTGAAGCAATGAGTCTTTCAGTGTGAAGATTTCCTTCTGCCACTGGTCCAGGAAGGCCAGAGTGTGGGCATATTTTACCTGTTTAAAAAGAGGTGGTCCTATTCTGACTGGCTGCCTACAGTCACAAAAACAAACTGAACAAGGCGAATCTAGGGTACTTTTTATAGTGACTGTATCCACATGAATGGTGATGTTAACTACATAGATGGAATCACAGTACATTCTAATACAGTAATTACAGTAACCAGTTCTGATCTTTAAGCTCAAAGTCCAAGGGTGACAGCTTCCTGGTGATTTTCCACAGTTCAGTAAAGCAGTAAAAACATGAGGAAATTCACGTGTGAAGCACTCAGGAGTTGTCTGAGTACTTCTAGGTAAAGTAGACAAAGAATATAACTGCACACTTATCAATGAATCTGATATACTCTGCAAAAGCTATCTGCCAAACTAAGGAAGTTTGCAACAAGTGAGTATACTCTGCGAGATTAACAGGAAACACAGTACAATCAGGATGGAATCCTAAAAGCTGTGTGTGTGGTGGTGGGCTTGCTGAATTAGCTTAACATTTGATCTGTATATATCTGGAGACATTTTGTAAGCTGGTTAGGAAGGTAAAGCCATTCAATAGGTTAACGTTTATTGTTTGCTATTTGACCAAAAAGTCCAGTAGGAAAGTGAGGAGCGGGCAATATGATCACTATAAGAGGCACAGACAGACTTATTTGAAACACTTGTCTGTTTGCCAAAGCAGTTTCTATTATTTGGAGGTGTGCAGGTACAGGGAGCATTAAAATCTGGAGCGATCATAGGCCAGTCCCATGGGACTGCAGTGGATGTGGGGAAAGCCAGCTATAAATTGCCCATAGAATAAATACATGCACTGATAGCTCTTAAATCCTGAAGCAGCCTCCAGTTGCCTGATTTCTTTGGTATAGCAAAAACAGCAGTATTCCAAGGGCCAGTGGAAGGCTCAGTGTGTCCTGCTTTCACTTATTCTTTCATGAAGGCTTATGAGTGAATGAGCTGCTTCTTTGGCAGGGGCCACTGGTCCACCCAAACAAACACATCTGTTTTCCATTTTAGTGAGGGTGGTTTTTGAATGGAGAGACACCATACTGGCCCCCATTAAAAGTTTGTCTCCTAGCCAGGACCTCCCCTTTATTCTTCTGATAAACTTCCACAGGTTCAGACATCTTTCTGTCATCACATGGAATTTACCTTAGTAATTCCATTTCACCACTCCTTCAGCAGATCCCTGTGCCACAAGTTGACTGGGATCCCTAAACAGCTAAAAGACTCCCCTTAAAGTTATCAGGGCCTACATAAGGCAGAGGTATAGCTCTCTGCATAACCTGACTGGGTGACCCAACCCCGACCCAGGAGGTGGCTACTGCTTAGGTGGGCCAGGCAGGTGACCAATTGGATGAAGCCATTGGTAAAACATCTGCACCTGTGTCCCTGAGCCCTCGAAAACATTTTCCTTTATATTTAAGAGCATATGTAGGCTGGTGATCTGTGATATCTTCAGTGAAAAACAATTCCTTTGGGTAGGTGCTACTAAATCCTTTAATTTCTCAACCAATAGCTGTGATTCTGACAGCCAGTAAAAGAATCAGTTGAGCAATGTAATCACCTGGTTCGGAGACCCAAACATCATGTGACTGAACCACAACCTGAATTCCACCCCCCAAGAGTCCAAATCAGTAATCCGGGAAGTATTTCAATATCCTGCTGGCTTTCCTATGACTAGGCCCATAGTACCTAAGTGAAGAGGTATACAGATTCCTGTGGAAATTCTAACAGGTTTATCTCTGCCAACCAGTCACCTGCAGAAGAAAGTCTAATCCTATGCTTTCCAAGACTCAGTGACAAAAGGACTCAACCGTCGTTCAGAGACCCACTGAGGACTGGGGCTGTAGGCCAGTACCGGAGTACTGGGAATGCCTCTTGGTTGGCCTGGTGCCAGACCCACATCCCATTTCCTGCCATCTTGATATTTAGAACTTTGATAAGCACTGACCTTTCCTTTTCAACATCTCAGGACGGGGCTCAGCACTTTCCCCTCCAGGAGAGGGACAGTTGCATTTCTTCCTAAGAGTCAAGTGCACCATTTATGGATATACCCTCTTTTGCCACAATTAAAACAATGTATTTTTTAAGAAGCCTGATTTTGTTTAATTCAACATTGTTTGGACTGATCTCCAAGATTTTTAGTCCCTGGGATGGCCCCAGAGCTTGTTTAGTCATTATTAGCATTCTCAAAAACAGCTGCAGTGCAGTAATCTCTGCTGCTTGGGCATCCGGTATCTGCCACTGGCCAGCTTCCTGTAACCTGGCTAAGAACTGGACACAGGGCTTACAGAAGCCGTGAAGAATATATGAGAAGGACTGAGTGGAAATACCATCCTCAGGAGTAGTTACCTAGGCTTTGTTTCATTATGGGAGCCGTTTGCTGGGAAGCCTGGACTGGAAGGGTTAACTATGAGATTAGATCTGAATATGGACCTGTTTCCAACACCATTTCTTCCATAATCTCTAGG